ATGGCGGCCGAGACACCGTCCAAAGTTTCAGAGAAGCAGGCTTTAGCTGACGCTGAAAGACTTGCGGGGGCGCCAAAGGCCAGCCCAAAGTGCAGTTCCAAAACCAGGACACCTCAGAGGACTCCACTCAAGCGCCCAGCAGCTCGCAGGGATGAGCACCAGCATAAGACGGTCAAGCAAGCCAAGACTCTGAAGCGTCCAGCTTCAAACAATGACTCGACAGAGATTGCAGGCCCTTCTGTGGAACCAAGCAAGGGTGACGGGGAAACGAATAAAAGCACAAACAAGGCTAAGAAGAAGGACCAGGAGAAGGCACAGAAGCTTAAAATCGAAGAGCCGCAGGAAGAGACACCTGACCCTGGTGTGGAAGCCAGCACCGAGACTGCGGACAAAACCAAAGAAACTCGAGACTACGCTAAAGCGGGCTACTTTCACAGAAGCTTTTCCAAGTTGCCGGAGGAGGCCCAATCATCTGTGTCCGTGTCTTGTTTCCTCCAAGTCTTTTCCAATAATTTCCGTGCTGTTTTTTGCATTATGTGCGTGGCAGGTGCAGAAAGCTTTCCAAGGGAAAGATTTGAACCGAGAGAAGAAGACTCAGTTGGTAAACCAAGCCGTACAGAAAGATTCCAAAGGCTCCTACACCTTCAACTTGGACTGTCAGGCTGTGAAAATGCTGTCGACTTACACGGAGAAAAACCAAAGGTTCCCAGAGGGCTGTCGGTATGCCCAAGTCTTTGATGATTTCGAAGCTTGGTTCCGAACAAGCTTTGCAGAAGGCTATGGCGGATGGTGTCTCAAACCACGCAAGCTGGCCGTGTCTTCTACGTCTTCAACACCATCGAGTTGACAAGAAGCACAGAGGCTGCAAGCAGCACTCAGGCTGAGAAAGGAACGGAGGTTTCTGACGATGCTTTCAAGTCTATGAATGCGTTCGTGAGCAATTTCCTTCCTAGCCTCAGCCCCACGGTTGCAAGCCATATTGTTTGGTTTTCAGGTGGTTCTGTTTTTGTTTCTGCTAGTAAATTTTCTAGCGCTAGGTGACAACAACTTGCCCAACCAGCAGACCAGCCCTACCCTGACTCTTTTTGGCGCCGAGACAGAGGCTCCGACCACTTTGGCCTTGACGAATGAATCGTTGGGCCGCGGTATGGGTGCCTTACATATCGCCGGTCAGCAAGTCTTGACTACTGCGGTGTTGACGAAGATCGATGAAGCTTTGACTTGGTGCTCCAAAGCACGTGAGCAAGCTCGAAAGCTATTCAGCCAAGGTCCCCAGGGGGACGCGCAGCGACAATTGCGTCAACACTTGGTGCAGCTGACCGATCGCTTGTGTTCAGCTTGCAGACCAAGTTGGAACATGCCAAGATGGTTGGAACTGCGGACTTCAACGACGTCAAGGACATGTTGACCAAGATGGGGTCCGGTCTGGTCGAGGTTCAAGAAACCTTGCGGGCGCTTTGCGCTATGGGGTGAAACTATACTTCATTGGTCGCCCGAGCTGGTACGTCTCAGTCGAAAGTACTTTGGAAAACCATTTGCTGCTTAGATAGGACGTATCCTTCAGAGTTGAGCAAAGAACATGGAGAGCCAAAAGACACAGTTGTGTCTGTGTCCATGTCCAGTTTCATTTCTTGTCCGTTTCTGTTTCTGTTTCCATGTCCTTTTTCATTTCTTGTCCGTTTATGTTTCTGTTTCCTTGTCCTGGAAACAACAACATAACAATAACAACGTCCTGGAAACCAGGAACACCACCACCACCACCAACAACAACAACAACAAATGCAACCGCGTAACGTCTGAACGCTCGCAAATTTTTCTTGTGTAAGAACTACAGATTCGATTGCATGTATCTTTTCGTCATTTATCTTTCAAGCGGCGCGCAAGTCTGCCACCATGGCGGGTGAACAGCCGAAGATGTCGGCTGGTCAGCCTTCCATAACGAAGTATGTTGTAGCTAGGCTGCAGTAGGTCTGCAGTTAGGCTGTAAATAACCCCCACTCAGAGAATCCACGTTTGCTAAGGTATGGATCGGAGGCAAAAACACTCCTCCTGGCACATTCGAGCAAATCTATGAATCTGTCAAACACTATGACGTGGAGGTCGTCAACAAAGGGTTCCAGACGGGAGGCTATGCAGTGCTGAAGACGACGAAGTTGGAGCATGCATGGTGGTTGTTCGATTGGCTGAAAATCATTGGCATCTATACGGGCAAAAAAACTGGACCTGCAAGGCTTGGCGTGTGTCCGTTTCCGTGTCAAGTGTTTGATTTCTTGTCCGTGTTCGTTACTGCAAGGTCACTTCATGTTCCTGAGTTTTGACAATTCAGGAGTCGGCTGGTGCAATTGTAGTTGTCCAGCGGCCTCAACACTGTGCCTACGATCAAGCCGCTCTGGAACAACCCGCAGAACAACTCAGACAAAGTCTTGGTATCACTCCATCTAGTGTGCCCACTCTTCGACCTGCTGAACCAGCATGGCCCCCTCGACGTGCTGACGATGGTGTCGCTGATGTGGATGAGGATGCTGCCCTGCAAGCTGCACTGCTATCCCCCCAGGACCGCACGATCCACAGCATGTCCATGAGCTTCCTATAATGATTTCGGTTCTTGACAGGAGCTACCTCAAACGAAGCGCCACTGGATGCTTCACTCGGCCGACCCGATCCTGCGCCTCCGAGAAAGCAGTCCCGCGGCATATGTCACATCCAGTGGGCGCAGAGTTGCTACTGTGGGTTACTCTGATGACGCTGAGCACTACGGCTCGGGCATTGCCGATGTTCCAGTAATTGTGTCCGAATTGGGTCTCGGTAGTGTCCACACTGGCATAGGCTTTGCTTGGGCGAAATTTTCCGCCTTTTAGCATCCGACTGGGATGACAATTGGGACAGTCTTGTCGGCGTGGTCGCAACACTTTGAATCGGACACTTCCCGGTTCAGTGGAAACCAGGACGGGCCAACGGTACCTATACAGCTAACGGGCCTTAAAAGAGGCTAACGAGACATATAAACGTGTCAGGAAGCTTGCCCATGAGCATCCATCAATCAACTGCGAACTTTGCAGTCAAAAACGATGCTTTGAGCAGCAGCAAGGATGATCTTGATGCCAATGTTGTGACATCTTGAGCCACTGTTGTGACATCTTGAGCCACTGTTGTGACATCTTGAGCCACTGTTGTGACATCTTGAGCCACTGCTGTGACATCTTGAGCCAATGTTGCGACGTCTTGAGCCAATGCTGTGACATCTTGAGCCAGTTTTGTGGCTATACCGTAACCATTTTTCAAATGCGTACTGAAGGAAAAAAACATGTGGTTTCTGTGGCTTCTGACTAAAAAAATGTTGGAATATATATTCGAAAAATCTATATGTGTTTATATCTCTGATAATTCTTTGGTACATACAACAAACAAAACATACTTTTGTCTTCCCACCATCATCATTGTTCAACAAATTTAGCGGAAATGTGGATATATACATATTATCATGTGTCTTCCAATTTCTTATGGAAGAAGTGGGGATCACCCGAAGTAATGATCAAGAGGTTCATGAACAATATGTCTTCGACGTGACCACCCTATTCCAAACGCAGGGGTTATGTTTACACTTTTTGGGGTTTGGTTTTCGGAAAGCACATTACTAATGAACAAAACAGCTGTCAATCCAATCAGATCCGGGCAGATCCGTTTGTTTTTTTCTAGCAATCCCATCGGATCCGGTCAGATCCGTTTGTCTTTGTTTGTCAAAAGCCGCTCATATAGATATGGCGCCATTCCTCAGCTCACGTTTTGGGCTCGAGGCATGGATCGACACAAGAAGGTGGCCCTTTTGGCAGAAGCCATTTACCAGGGATTTGTAAAGGATGATGGAGGGGAATATCTAAGCAAAACTGGAAACCTGTTTCCGGCCTGCAACCTGCGGGTTCACAAAACCCGAAAAGGTTTCGCTGTGGTTCGGGATGCTTTAGAAGCAAGTGGAGAACGAAGGATTTGGACCAAAAAGTTACTCCAAAATGCCTTGGGTAAAATGATGAAGGATAAGCCCCTAGAGGTGCCTCAAACTCCAGGGTTTACTTGGGCTGAGTGGCTCAAGGATCAGGTGTCTAGGCTGCATCACTTGTCCCAGAGGGCAAGGAAGAACGCTTGGCGGATGGATCAGCTTCAGACCCTTCCCTACAATCCCGAGGACTGGGTTGTGAGCATGTCACCCTTTCCAAGATATGATTTACACACACATATATATATACACAACATTATGTTTTAATAATTTATATGTATGTAAATGTGAGTAATATACACCAATACGGGTTTCGTACATGTAGACCTGAATATATATATATATATAGATAGATAGATAGATAGACAGATAGATAGATAGATAGACATGTGATGGGTTTCTATTTACAAGTATAGATTTGTTGTTAGGATCCTGTTTTCGTCTATCGATCATTGTTTTTAGAATCAAAACCATTTTTCTGATTCTCCAGGAATGTCCCGATGCTCTTGCAGATGGCCCCATGGACACCATTGAAGGTGAGTTCGATTCTTTGACAAATGATGGTGGGGGTCGAGGTGAGTGCAACTATATTTCGACCCACAAAACATTTGCTTATACCATCCTAAATTCAGTCAATGATATATGTTGGTTTCTCCAATCACATCGCGTTCTGAATTTTTGGTGGCCTCGCCAACTGCTGAGGAGAAGAAAACAGATGAAAGCGTCCTTCACGATCCTGAGACAGTTTCCTGGCATCCATTTGCGTTTAAACCAGGGAAACCGTTTTAGCTGTCAGTCTTAGTTTTAGATGGAAACAGTGTTCAATAGCGGTCGCCAATCATAGGGCCCACAAACTGGTTTCAAGATAATAAAGATAATAATTTATAGATGGTCCATAGTCGAATTTATATCAAATCCTGCAATCAGACATGCACCCCGGCTCTTCACATCCAAGGCTCGATTGCTGCGTGCAGCTACCTTGCGATTGGGCGAGGCCGACGATGATCACATGGCTGCACTTTAGATGTCCAGCCCTGGAAAATGAAATCAATTGTTAATTCAACCATTACTCCACAATGTGGTCGCTACAGCTACATTTGACTTTTTCTCAATCACGCAGGTTCCATCAACATGTTTTGTCGTAAGGAAAACGGTAAGGATGAGAAGGTCCCCGACATTTCCGTTTCTTGTTTTTTTTTGCGAGAGATTTTTGGATCAAAATCGGAACCAATCAAAAACAATAAACGGAAGGTTTTTCGATCAAACACGAAAGCTTTTTCGATCAAAATTGAAACTATTCAAAACTGATTGTTTTTTTTCTGAGGTTACATCACCTTCTACTACTGCACCTTCACGATCCCCGGGCAGCTCTGGGGATGTGGCTTCCAGTGGTGGAGCTGATTGGTTTGGAGATTGGGGTGCTGAGTGGGGTCTCGAATGGGATTCCGAAGAATGGGATCGTAAGTGGGACCTGCAGTGGGAGCCTACTGTTGAGGACCTGATGGCCTTGGGTTTAGAAACCGATCCTGAGAAGTGGGATGAGACTTGGGATGAGAAGTGGGAGCTTGAGGAATGGGATCCTAGTTGGGATTTTCAGGAGGATGTTGTTGATCCACGCCAGCTTCACTTTGACACAGTTGGTGCCGAGAGTGCGGGGGAGGTGCCTGAGAAGAAACCCACACCCAAGGAGGTGGATAGTGAGGTTGAAAGTTATCCAATGGTCAGCGGGTTTGTTTGGGACCCCATCAATTTGAAGGAGATTGAGCTTGGCACCATTACCAGCCATAGTGTTGGACAACATGGTCAATGGACAGCGTTTTTTCAGGGTCTTGATGGGAATGACTATAGTGTCACTCGTTTGCCATGTCAAAAACCTGACCAACCAGCCCCAGAAGTCGTGGTTAACAAACAGCCCCGAGATGAGAAGATCCAATACACCCCGGTCAGCAAGAATGCCTTTACCAATTTCGCTGAGAAAGCTTGGCCGAAGAGTGCGGAGCCCGGGCCCGGTGGTTCAGGGTTGAACCAATCTTCCCGTGAATTTGTCCCAACAACAGAGGAGGTTGAAATGGAGAGGGTGAAATATCAAGACCAACCTTGTGGGCTTTTATGGGAAGGTGCAAGTATGACCAAGAAGTTTGGCAACAAACCGGATGCCAACACGGACCCACTTGGCCTTGAGACAATCCAAGGGATGACCCTGAAGGAACACATCATTCATGTCCAGTGGTACTCGTCCGCTGCGGACTTCAAGGAAAAGGTTCCCCCAGGCATTTCCCAACAGCTCTGGGAAGAACTTGTTGAAATCTTTAAGATTGTCCACGTCTACGGCATCACTGATTCAGAGATTGTCTACAAGTTTTTGAGGACCATTTGGGCCAATTCGTATTATGGCTGAAATTATTGTTTGGGCCACTGTTTCACAAGTTTCTGTGTTCAGGATATCGTTACCCAACCTTTACTTTCTTCGCAGTGCAAAACCAAGGCATGGTGTGAAAGTTCTCACTTTTACTGACCCAACAACTGATCCAGCGGGCTCCAAGGCTTGGGTATAAGGGGAGATGAATATGACGGTTTCATTCAAAAGCGATGGGTGTTGTTATGCTTAAATTAGATCCTTGTCCTAGTTTCAGTATCCTTGCGGGCAGGTCGGTTGGACCAAGAGGGAGTGGTGGGAGCCTGTGGCCTGCAAATACCTGGCCGAATGGGAATTGGACGTTCCGCTTGCTGTGAAGCGGGGAGATGTTTTGATTGATGTGGCTACTTAGCTTAGATTACCAGGTTCATGTTGACATCCAGCATCAAAAGTTGTTCAAAGATACTTCTTTACAATTGGTTTTTGGTTTGGAAATATTTTGTTTTCCAACGGAGGACCGAAAGTGCTGGCAGTCCCGAGAGGTCAAAATTTCCTATGCTCCCTGGATTTGATTTTAGATATTTTGATAGTTCATGATACAGTTTTTGCCCATGGCCGCATGTCCAACCAAACATGTTTTGGCCATATGGAAATGTTTGTTCTGCAGGTGCCCCCGCCTGATTTTGAAATGGATGATGGCGAAGCCTTGGAGATTCCCGAAGACCCTGCAGTTCCCGAAGACCCAGCGATTCCCGAAGACCCAGAACCCGAGGCAGGTTGCTTTAGACTTTAGACCAAGGTCATGATAAGGAGGTATTACAGTGAAATTATGTAAATACAAAGATAGATAGAGATAGACGGACGGAAGGATTTAAGTAGACATGGGTATAGGAAGAAACAACAATAGATATATAAACAAACCCATGGTGTTTATTGCGCTGGTTTTTTGAAGCCCAACAGCTTACCTGTAGGGTCCATGTGTTTCCCTTCTTTTCTGCAGGCCCCTCCACAAGATGTTGCTATGGAAGCGGGGAACGAGAACCCTGGGGGAGAAGGTGGCAAGGCTTGGGGTTTTGTAAGCACAACTTTTTTGGTAAACTCCATCGAATGTGTCATGTTTTGTGAGAGCTCCAAAGGGTCAAACACAAAGAATTTATGTTTGGTCAGTTTGCAGGGGGGGCCTGCAAGAACCACAGCTGCTCCCGTCCTCTGCTTAGTTGAAAAAAATCACTGGTTTTTGATTCAAAAAAACGAAATGATCATCTAACATATAAGGATGGCTTCTACCTGAAGCTCCCGGCCAACACAGATTCTGATGCTTCACATCTTCCGGAACGATGCTTACACATGTTTCCAGGGGCCCTTCAAAAACCGATCAACCCCCATCGCCAGAAACTGCTGGCCGCTTCCAAACGGGTTGCCAAGGTAGATGCTGTTGACCCCACCAAGGGCGCCGCAAAGGCAAAGGCCAGCAGCAAACGCAAGGCCAAAGCAAAGGCCGTTCCTAAGGTGGAGGCCGCAGGCGCGAAGGAGATGAAGGAAAAGGCACAGGCTGACTACTCGAAAGCCAGGGCTGACTTCATGGAAAAGTTTCTTGGCGTTTATCGTGTTGGCTTCGGTAAGATTTGCACATTGTTTTACAGGTTCCGGTCTTTAAAGCTGATTGCATTTACAATGCGACCCTTTTTGCATGTCAAGTAGAGCTAGCTTCTAGGTCACACCACGGCTTCAACTTTCCGGTATAGAGCACTCCAGCAGTTTCAATCCAAGGCTGAAAGGTGAGAAGATTGCGCGAAAGGAAAAGGAACGCAGGCTTGGCCAACCGTGGAAACGAGGCTAATGGAAAAATATGATTGATATGTTTCACAAAAATTGAGCAACATGGGATAGCAGTTCAAGTTGAAGCCACTGAAAATGTTCCGTTCTCCTTTTACAAAATGTCCTATGTATCTTTTGTGCCCAGTTCACATATTTAAAAAAACAATTATTATATATATATATCTATCCATCCATCTATTTATCAATCTATGTATACATTCCCCCATTATCTTCGATTTATCTCCCGCCATTTGTTTCTTCCACCCTTTCCATCATTCCACATGGCCAGGTGGAGTGAAAGCGAGGAGCGAAAGGCCGTGATTGCTTCGATGCCTGAGTATGAGGCAAAGCGACGCAGGTATATTTGATGGTCCATGGCTCACTGGGGTTCACCCTAATCCAGTCCAACAAAGAACATACTATTCCATCATGTTGCATGTGCAGAGTTCACATGAAGACACAACATGGTTTTCCATTAAAAACAAAAGTGTTGCAATTTGGACCAAAGGGTGCATGAAGGGGATGAGCTGTTTTCAGGGACCATTGTGGTCGTAGCACGTCGTGCCAAGTGCCAAAGTCTGGATAACAAAGTCCGGCATTTCAGTTTCTAAATTCTTTGAAGAAATTCATATCACGTGGGTGTTTCCACGTGCCATGTCAGCTGGGGGTGAACACATTTGGAAATTTCGAGGTGGGTGCAAAAAGTAATACCCGCTGCCCCTTTCAAATTGCAGACATGTTTCCACGCAACCACTGCCCAATGAAAGCTCCAGTCGACCCGCCAGCCCAGTGTGCAGCATTGCAATGCGTTGTGCATCCTTGGCTTCCAAAGCCGCAGTATTCAGTGGATCAGGGGTTGTGTTCATACATAGTTAGGTTTCGCAAAGATCACCCATATATTACCTGGGCATTGAGATGAAATTCAGCAACCTGGCGATTCCTTTGGCATCTCTTCTTGCGAGTTGCTAGCTTCTTTTCAGTTTAACTTTTTTGGTTGTTGATCTTTGTGGTTTTATTCATTGGATGGGGTGATCGATGTATTGGAATCATCAAGTGTAAAAAACGACAAATCATATATGAATGGGGTTATGGGTGGGGAATGGTAGTGGTCGCATGGTATATTGGTTTTCCCGGAAATTTCTTAGCCCCTGAGATTGTTAAAGGGAATTCGCCCCATCAAGGCTTTGGTGATGTGCCTCAACAAGAAGCCCTCCACTTCCTTGAGGTATTCAGCGGTTTCCTAGCTCAATGCGTACTTGAGAAATTGACAATTTAATGCCTGACAAATCGACAAATCAGTGTTTGTGATATTCCTGGTTGATATTGGTCAAAGAACAATTTATTCCCTGTTGGTTCAGGTGAACACATCCTCCACGATGGTGTTCTGGGAGAGGGATTGGTTTCCCGTTGCATCGATGTTCCTTGGTGGGATCATTTATTTTCACCATGTGCTGAATTCTGGTTCAACACCATGCAAGTACATACAAAACAAACACACATGCCTAGGTCTCCTATTCGAGGAAAATGGATATCTGCACTGCTTTCGGGTTCCTAGTGCTGCTTTTTCAAGCACGGCGCCTATGCGCCTATGGGTGCGCATGGTACGCAGTACCTTGTGGATCGTGGGTATACCTGTGTTTCGGACTAAATTTAGCAAAGGAAGGGTTCACAAGAATTGGCATTTGGTTTGAGGGACAATCGGTATATAGTTTCCTACTTGGGGGCAGTTCCAGTTGTATTGTAAGTTGTTTTACAACTGTTACGTCTCAAATGTTATTTCCCAACTTATTACGTTTCTTCACCATGGTGTTATGCATTGATAACCCAACTGCACACCCAAGTAGGGTCTGCTAAAAAGGTGTTGTTCCCATTTGCCTTACTTGCAATTGCGATCAGTCATTGTAGAAAACCATGTCTATCCACCACCTGTAGAAAACCATTGTTTATCCATCCCCTTGTAAGTTTTTGAAACCAAGGGGAAGCACATATTCTCATCCCACAACATTAAATACGACCCTAGAAGTTGTGGTCCGGTTTTTTGGTCTATGCATTTGGGGGGCCCATGTTCAGGTATTCAATGTTGGGTGATTACTGATATGTATATATATATGTGTGTGTACATGCATACAAACAATATGATCAGCTGATGGACAGGGTATTAACTTCCATTCAAAAAGATATACATATGTACCTAGCTTGCCACAGGTTTACATCTATCTAAAACATCAACACGATGTGAATGTATTTGAAGAAACAAAATTATCCTTGTAAGGGATTACCTGAAAGTTCAAATCCCGTATATATTGTTATTCCCCCCGTCTACGATTGCTGAAGATATATTTTCATCGCTATACTCATGAAAAAAACTACCTGGTTGAGATATGTGTCCATATTGAAAGGTTTCAGTTGTTTTATTTACTGCCATCGAAGAATACATGCGAAAACTATTTGGGTCTACCCCAGTATTATGTATACACATATACTGTTGACCTTCGCACTCTGGTGGTTTATATAAAACCGAGCTTCAAAATGGAGCGACTGCACAAATGAATGATATTTCTATTTTTATATATACCATTAAGTTCAAATATACCCCAATGACCAGGATGACAGGTGCACCCCTGAAAAAATAATATACCCATCCTATACCCAGATCCAGGTCGCGAGGAACATCGAAAAGACGCCACTTCAGGGTCTCAGGAGACAGGGAACAAAGGAGCGTGCGGGAAGCCAACCGGGTTGCCCGCAGGGTGGCCTACTTGTTGGAGTACCATTTCGTGAAAAAGACGTACTACATTCTTGAGAATCCGATCTCCTCTGTACTTTGGAGGTTTAAGTGCATTCAGATGTGCTTAAAGCGGCATGGGGCAAAACGTGTAGTTGTTCATCTTGGAGCATATGGTGCGAACACATTAAAACCAGCTTTTTGTCTTCTTATTGACAGAAGTTTTGAATTCTGATGTTTGTCCGACTTTTGTGGAATTGTGGTTGAGGTAGCTATATGTTGGATATATAGTAGATCTTACAACATATCTATTTTTGGTTCGGGAGATTCCGTTATATCAAACAAGATCCTCTGTTGTAGTTTCTTCACCACGAGTCATGTTTGACACCTATGTTTTTTGTGCACCCCATGTCCGGAATACAAAAACAATTGGTCATATACCCAAACTTTGCTTCCTTCAGGTTGTTCTCTATGGAACAGCACCATGGATGCACTCCTT